TTAATCTTTTTTTTAGGTTACTCCCGCATTTGCTTACAACTCCCACTGCATGGACAATATTATGCCTCAACTGATAGCCCCTTTCAACAAATTCAGTCTTGTACCTCTTATTGTCATCAAGCGCAGTCTTCACCCAGTATACCCACTTGTTATCCTCTCCTTCATAGTTTGCTCCCATTTGCTCGAATTGTCATCTTACAAGATTTCTTCATGACTATGTGGTTCTCCACCATTTGTCTGTTCAAGATCCGATTTTTTTGCCTTTGACTTTTTGTCACTTTTCAGAAAATCGATCTTCTTCTTCCCTGTAATGCACCTGTGACTCATATTTTCAAGCCCGAATAAACCTGTAGTCATATATAGTGCCATTTTTCTTACTTTGAGCTAGTACTAATTCTCCTTTGATAATTTTTCAAGTGCTATCTGAGAACATTACTGATTGATCGCTTTTATTGAGCTGTCCAACAAAAATGAGGTTTTTCTTTAACTCAGAAACGTGCACAACCTTTTGAAAAGTTCATTTACTCTTGTTTGGGAGTGCAATATCAACGTCTCTCATCCTCATCACGTTCAGAGCTATTTCATCAGCCGGATATACCTTTCCAAAGTCACTTGCAACATAATTCCGCATTAACTCATGCTGAGAAGATGTATAGAAGGAAATCCATAAATTCAGTATCCATTCATTAATAGAACTGTAAACTGACAACAATAGCACATCCTATATTTCTTCAGTACAACATTATCGCTATCATTCTCTTTCTTCTCGAGATTCATGCAGTTCCTTTTTATGTGACCAATTTTGCCACAATTCTTGCAGGTTGCCTGCTGATCAAGGTTTGATTTTAATCATCTTTTGTTCGAGTTTCCGTCCTGTGATCTCCCTATGGATCAACAATCACTGTCAAACTTGAACCCGAGGTCTCGCTAGAGTCTTTCCTGCGCGTCTCCTCAGCCAGAATCAAATCACGAATATCATCATATTTCAGTTTAGATTTATCTGCAGAACTGTTAACTGCCATCCGCATGTCTTCCCAGCTATTTGACAATGAAACCAACAATATCAACGCACGTATCTCATCATCAAACTCAATTTCAATAGATGACAATTGATGTGTGATGGTGTTGAAATCATTCAGACGCTGAATGTCAGACACATCTTTCATCATTTTTAAGTTGAATAATTTTTTTATCAAGTATAGTTTGTTATTCGCCGATGACTTTTCTTACATACCTGATAAAACTGTCATGAGATCTGCAACCGTTCTCTCCTTGATGACGTTCTGGGCAATGAATCTTAACAAAGTTAATCGTATAACCCCAAAACTTGTCGATCCAACAGATTCAATTATGCATAGTTCATCTTTTCTGGTCGATTTCTCAATAACGGAAGATGAACTTTCTTCTCATAGAGATAGTCATTTATTTGCATCATCCAGTAAGTAAAATCTGTGTCATTGAACTTCTCGATCCCCCAACTTTTCGATTTCCGATGTCATCACTTCGTCTTTTCCCATTGTTCTTTCTTAGATCCGAATCAAAGCTCTGATACCAATTGTTATGAAAAACGACTACAATAAAGTGAAAAATTGGATCGAAGAATTGCAAACCAGAAAATAACACAAATTTACATGATTCGGCTAATTTGCCTACGGTCACGGAGTTGCAGAGTATTTTATTACTTCGAGAATTACACCGTCCAACGCCTTGACATTTACGAGAAAATTTTTTTCTCCCTTTCTCTCTCTTAGCTCTCCATCGTAAGCTTTTCTTGTAAGCTTTGTCGAGTAAGCTTAAGGAGTGGAGGGATTAAGCAGCAGAGGGGTTAAGAGGGCTTGACTTGACAATTTATGACAGACCAAAAGAGGCTATTTATAGAAAACATGAGAGCGGTAGGTGGGACGTGGAGAGAGGTATGCGAGCGGTAGGTGAGATGTGGAGAGAGGTAGATGAGCGGTAGGTGGGTTACAGAGAGATGTAGGTGGGTCACGAGCTCCATATATTTAATATAAGCAGATGAGTGGCTTCACACTTAAATACAACGTGAAATGAATATATCTGTGATAAGGTTGATATAGCTCCAGTGGCAAACAAGATTAGAGAGTTGTCTTAGATGTTTTGGCCCCCGTTAAACGTTGATCATTTGATGATCTTGTTAGGTGAGTAGATGTTTCAGATTCAACTTCTGTTAAGAAAGACAGAGGTAGACTTAAAAAAACCTAGGCATATTGTATAGGAAATGATCTTAATCTGTTACAATTAAATAAAAATATGACACTAAATAGGATGCAATGGAGGGAAATGATTCAGGTAGTTGACCCCACTTAGGGAGATAAAGGCTTGTTGTTGTTGTAATTCATTTAAGTATTTGCTCAATTAAATTAATCAAGCTAAGTATAAGCAGAGTCCGGTCATAGAAAGATCTAATTAAGCTAAGTATGAATATATATATATATGCATATCATCTTATATATATATATATATATATATGAGAAAGCTCGGCATGAGCTCAAGTAGAATATGAACAATTTCTAGCATATGACCTTCCCAAGTCCAATTTATGGTGTGAGTGGTTTGACTCAGCTTGATCATAACCCTAGTTGTGTTCATCTTGTAATTATACAAATTTTATGTATATTTTTTAGTATATTCCTTTTTCCATTCCATCCAACTCTGATAATACGGTTAAATATGTTGTTGTTCACATTGATTTATTTCTATGATCGTATTGTAGCAGATACTGGTACTTCAATTTTTGATGCTATTACTGCTACAGTTCCTCCTACCAATGCGCCTTGCCATTCTTAGCACACTTTAAACCTCCTACCAATGCGCCTTGCCATTCTTAGCACACTTTAAAGTCAACTAAAGCTTTATAATTTTTTTTAAATTCCTCTTATTCTTATTCTTTTACATCTCTTTTTTGCTATATTTATATTCTTGTTGAGTTTCCATCATAAAGAAATATAGTTTTGATTCCCTTTACTAGAAAGCTATGGTGAAAGAGTTTTTTGCGTTATATTAAATAATACTTGGGAATTAAAACTCTGTCAAGAAGAAAGAGTGACATTGAAAATGTCACTGTTATTTGGTGCATTGTTTGGAGACACTCATTCGTTGAAAGGAAATGAACTAAAATGTTGTTTCTTAATATTCCACTGAATTGAATATTGTGCTATGACCTCTGTTATCATTAAGATAATTTGATTGCGGTGGCTGCTTTTTGATTTGCGCGTTGTTGTTTTTAATCCCACTTTTATGTATTATGAGAATAAAAGTGCTGTTTAGATTGCTAGAAATTCTGATTTTTTTAAGAAAACTATGTATTTCATGATCGACTATTATCTTGCCTAACTTCATATTTAACATGTTACTTTTTACTTGCCCTCGGTTTATTCTTTATATATTGCAGAGTTTGTATATGAACTTCCATCAGCTTTCATATTTTCCCCCTTTAGTAGGCAAACTCTGGACACTTCTTGTAGTAGCATCATCAGTTTGTGGGAGAATGTTTAAGTTATTTGAATTATTCATTTCCATATTTATTCTAATATTTGTAGTTCGAATCTATAATATTTATTATTTTAATATATTTTTATTATTAATAGTTTTTCTTACTTGCTGTTTTTTTCTTTTAATACTCCCTTCTATTGTATATATTTAAACAGCTTTATGTCGGTATATTATTTAAATCAATGAGGGCATTGCAATCAATTTTTCCAACACTTTTTTGATCATAAATTTCCCTTTTATGTTAGTCTTGTCAACTAATATGGATGAAAGGGAAAAGCAATTTTCCCTTCCTTTGCCATGTCTCATATTTGAGTTTAGCTGCCTTAGGAAACCCAGCTTCTTGGTTTGCTTTACTCGGTTGGCATTTTTATGAGAACGCACTTGTTTACACCCCTACCTCGTTCACACGGTACTAGCGAGAAACCATAGCTTTCTTCTCTTCGGTTGCAGTTAGATCCAGGTAGGGGTGTAAACGAACCGAACATGAACGAACAGAGCTTGTGTTTGTGTTCGGTTCGTTTGAAATTTAGTTTGTTTGAAATAAGCTCGTGTTCGAAATTGTTCGTAAAGTCACTGTTCGTGTTCATTTCTTAACAAAGGAGCCGAACACGAGCTGTTCGCAAACGACGAGCCAGTTTGACATCCCTAATATTAATATATATAAATAATATATTATATTAATTATATAACTTTTATTATATAAATATACAATATGTATATTAGTATATTACTTATATAGTATATTAATATATTATCATTATTAATTTATTATATATTATCATTTATAAAATTTAATTTTTAAAAATATCATAAATTTTTTTATATATAATTATTTTAAATTATTTTATATTTCGAAAGGTAACGATTCGAACACGAACAAATGTATCACTATTTGTGTTTGGTTCGTCTAACTAATCGTACGAAAAAAATTTGTTCATGTTCGTCTTGTTTACTCATCGAACGTATCGAACACGAACTCATTGACGAACCGAACACGAACTGTTCACGAACAACGAGCTTTTTTTACAACCCTAGATCCAGGTAAGCCATTGGTACCTCCTACTCCCTCTCCTTATCTTCCTTCACGAGCACCGTGTCGACACCGCACATACTATCTACTCCTTAGACTTTTCCTTCTTCTTCCTTCTCCGATTCTTCTCTTGCTCTTCATTTGCTCTGTGATGGTTAGGAGTGAAGAATGATTGGGAGATGCTCTCCCCCTCTCGACTTCACTTAATGAATCAGTTCGATTTTTTATTATTATTATTATTATTATTATTATTATTATTATTATTAATGTTATAATTCTTTTATTTAAAATTCAGTTATTTCACACACACATTTCCCTTCGATGAAATTTCATTTATTTTTTTGTTCTGGCATATTCATTTATCTTTGAACTGTGTAAGGGACTTGTCGATGTTCTCCATGTTTTTATTACCAAATACACAGATTGTCAAATAGCTTATAAATTTCATTGCGGTCAGGAGGAGCTACAATCACTGGAAGGACTTCAACCAGTTTCCAGATGCTGCAAAGAGTAAGCTTTGGAATTTTATTAGCAATTCTTTACTAAAGTTTGTGCGCTTAGATTTAGCCAAAAACTTTCATATACTTCTAATTGAAAAGGCTAATACCACCAGCACCCCGTGTCCCAACTAATTATTTTGTTAATATTCTCATAATTAATTTTTTTTATCATTTAAAATAATTTAATGACATTTGCCTTCTCTTAGCTGAATTATGATAAAAATTTATGAGTTTCTTTCAACTAGGCAAATGATACAATAATAAATGCTTAGGATCTAAACAATTTTGTGTAGAATGGTCTTAAGTTTTTTTTTGTTACAGTATGAAACTGAAATTGAATGCCTTCTGTTTACTTGATTTCATAAACAACCAATGGTTTTTCGTGAGATCTAGCATGTTTGATAAGGTATTTATCTGTATTCGTCAAATTGAGGAATTCATAGATTTTACTCGTCTCAGTTTTCTAAGGAAAAGGCAAGAGGGAATAGAAGTAAAATAAGTGTGGCATTCATCCATGGTTGATTTTTGTCTTTTTGTTTTTTCTTTTAGTTCACTATAAAATTTTTTGATGTACATCAATGACTTTGCAGGTTTGAAGAATTTGTGGGATCAAAACCCGATCCGTTGGTACCTATGTATGGTTCCTTCACTCTTCCCATTTCTCAAGAAGGCTTAGTGTGATGTATTCATGTTTCTTTTTTGTGCAGAGTTAAAAAACGGCAAAGCTCATGTCGCCTTTGGAAATGGCTTAGGTAATTTCTATTTTTTGTTTTACTGTAATATTTTATAATGTTCATATAAATTTTCATGAATTAATGTTAGTTTGTTTAATCTTACGAAGCCTTTAAAATGTATTGATTTGCGACAGCAACACACATTAGTGATATTGGAGTTTTTTTCCCAATCAAAAGTTGAGGTGGTAATGCCAAATGATATTGCCACCTGATCACCAATCTTTTAAAATTTCTCAAATGGATTAATATATCATGATTTTAGTTTTCCTGACTTCATGAAGCCTAGTTATTCCTTTAGTTGGACCGGCCTTCATCTTGTTCCTGAAGATCAAGAGTAGTGCAAAAATACAATCATAGGTTAACTAAAACTTACTTGGTTGCATCATCGAGAAGTTTAGGTTTTAATATTGAATTTTCGACTATATTGTTGGCTCTCTCCTTCAAATGGGGGGTGATGGTGAACTTCAGTCCATCCATTGTCAACTTTAGCTTGCCATGCTCATTGGTGATCATAGTATATGGGAAATACAACTTGTTGACCTTCAATAACCACCATGCAGCATAATCATTTCCTTCAATGAAGGATAGTTGGAGATCTGCGAGAAGTGCTTTATTCACTTGATTTGAGTAGTAGGTGTGCTTAGGAGAGTTATCTAACAATAAAAAAAATAAGCGTTCTTCACGTAACTATTTTGAGCAATGTCTAGTTAAAGTGATGTTTTGTTTTTATTACCCATAAGAAAATGGGTCATTTACATACATAGCACCTGAAAATTGCTGTTTACAAACCTAGCATCCTCTTCCATTCATTTTTAAAATTTTCACTGAGATATCAAAATTCACATAAAAACCCAACCCATATTTTTGTTTTTATCAATTTCATATAAATTTGATCGTGGCATTAGTTGGTAGTTCAAAAAATCAGATGGGTGTTTATTTTGTAATAACAATGTTATGAGTGCTGTGTATGTGTAATTTTTCTCTAAGAAATAATAGAGGTAGGTGTTCATGGGGGGGAGTGACACTAAATGTTGACGATAGTGAAAGATTTGAGTTGTATGAAGTTCATTGTGAGTTGAAAAATTCTCAATCACTACCTTGGTGGTCACTCTTGATCTCCGTTCCTTTCATAAAGATGTTCCCAAAGTTCAACGGAGTAGTAGCATCATCCGTCTCATCTAGAGGTGCACCATGATAGCGATGTTGAACCTTGGTAATTAATAGAAGTATAAAAATCTCGTTATCGAAATTGGTAGTAGCTTGAACGTTAATATCAAAGAAGCTGGAGAAGATACAAAAATTGTATTATTGCACTTCCTTCTATCCTAAGGTTTTGTAAAGGTCGTCATGCTCAAGGAAGTAAGCAATCGTGTAGTAAAATAGAAGAGGTGCTTATGTGGGTTTCCAACCTAATCCACCGCTTAGGATTCGATCACATCCATGTGGCATTGAAGAGCTTAACTCACTAGAAAAAGGTTGGCTTGGTTTGACCAATCAGCCTTTAGTTAAATCAATCACTGAAGGCCTAATCAATGACAGATGATACGTCACTCTTTTAGGATTATCCAAATGACTTCTCTGCATCATTGCTTTGCTCAACAATGACCAAATTAAATGTGGTAGCCGTAAAAAATGCCTTGATGCAACTAAAGCCGTAAAAAATGTCTCATTTCGCTCAAGTTTGTACAGATGACCTCAATTCCGAAGTTATCAAATGTCTCATTTCGCTCAAGTTTGTACAGATGACCTCTAAGTAGACATCGGAATTATTGAGTGAGGTAGATGGTTAATTGACTAGCAAAATCCACAATTCTTGGAGTTATGCTCTCCCTAATCAGGCTACTCTTGCCCCCAGTGGATAACAATGACTCGTGATTGTACAAGATGGTTACATGCTACATAAGTAGGCGGCTTGTGTTATATTATAATTTGAATTGTTCTTATACCCTTAATTTGAAGGGAAATATTTTATAGCATTCCCTCCTTTGTATTGGAATGTAAGAGAGTGGGATAATCTTAGGTGTCGTTTGGAATTAGTCATGTCTTTTTGGTTTTTTTTAATGTTTTGATTTAAAATAAAATGTGTAGCTGTCTGATTAAAGTATGATTATTTTTCAAGTATTAAAAATACCATTTTTATTTTATGTTTTTAAAAATTTGTTATTTATTTAGAAATAAAAAATAAAAATATCTAAAGAATTTAATAAATAAACATGCTTTTAACAAATAAAACGTTAAGAGCTACATTTTGTGGCTCATCATCAGCAAACTGATAAAACTGATAATAAAGAATCAAGTTTTTCCATTGTCATATTTTTTGTTTATCAAATCTCTTTCAACCATCTTTTATGTCTATCACCCAGCTCAAAACGTTGATCTTTAGAAGTTCATAGTTATTGAATAGGAAATGCTGTAATATTAGAGTTTAATAAAGAGAATATAAAGAGAATTATTCACTCCTTTTAGGCCTACAACAACAATAGAGCGCTACAGCGCAACAGTTTTTAAATGGGAGTTCATTTTAAATTGTTGCTTTTTGTGATTTTTTCTGTGAAATATTAAATTTTTTGTTTAAGGAATGGAGAGACTATTTTTGTGTCAAGAGTGATGTAATTTGTCCTGTTCTCCTTATTTTTCTTCTTAGAACATTAAAATTAGAAAGCAGATTTGAGACCACTCTTTTTTGCAGGGTTCAATGTGCCTCCATGCAATTTTTGATCGAAGTATATAGATTTGGTGCTCTTTTATATCTATATTGTTTTATTTGTTCTTGATCTCTTTTAATTTGGGGTGTGTTATTTGGTCAAAAATTAAAAAATCAAATCAAACGGAACAAGTAATATTCTGTTTTCGGTTTTTTGGTTCAGTTTTTATTTTCATTTAATTAAGAAACTGAAATTTAATTAAAATTTCTTAATCTAATTTAATTTTATGTCGAGCAAACAGAAAAAAAGATCAATGTTTACATTATATGTACCATTTGATTGTGAGTATTCTTGAAATTAAATTAATGTTATACATATAATATGCGTAATTTGTAATGTTCGTTCGTAATCATACTCTAACAAACAATTAAATTTCAATTTATTCATGGTTGAAAAGTCCAATTTGCTTGATTTTATCAAAATTTTGATTGGTTTGTTTTTTTTTGGATTTTGGTTGTAACTTGTTTTACCAATTTGAAAATCCATCCATCTTGACTGATTGAATGCTCACCTTACTCTTAAATTTTATCAAGAAAGGTAACTTGGGCCTTAACATATTTTATAATTGTTGCTTGGTTGTATGCCATAGAAATAGTTTTTGGGCCTTCGGCATTATTACGTTTTATTATTGATGAGGTTGGAATGGATGGTGTAATATTATAACCCTTAAAACTCAGTACAATTGTTTCACTTATGCGCCAGTTTTTGTTTTCCATCTTCCTATCCAAAGAAACATGTCGCCGATGGCCAAAATTAATATTTTCTTTTTTCCTTCGCTAAACAGATCAGTAATTTGCTTCCCTATCTCGCTGCTCTGTTGCTCCTGTTGCCAAAAGAGAACTCACTGCAGTTGCTGCTCTCCTCCAACGGACTGCTGCTCCTCACATTGCCAACACCCGTGCCCCCGCTGCTGCATTTCCCACTGCCCTTCTCAGCAATGCAATTTTTTACCCTGCTCTTCCTTCTTTAACTGCTGCAACATTACTTCCCCTTGTCCCTCTTCTTGCTCTTGCGCCCATCTCCCCATCCGCCGCCTTCCGCCATGCTTTTCCTCTACTTGTAACCCTAAATCTCCCTTCTGCCATCTTCCTCACTGTTGCTGCTGCCACCCACCCGAAACTTCCTGCTGCAGAAAACCTCAATGCCCAGCTTGCGATCTTTCCTCCTGCATGCCTTGGAGATGGCGCTGCTGCTGCTGCTGCTTCCGGGAAGATTCATGCTCCTTACCGAGGCCATCGTGTCCGGAATACTCCTGCGGCTGTATCTGGTCCTGCCCTAAATGTACAGAAGCACGGCTCTGCCGCAGCTGTTGTTCTAGTAAGAGCTCATGCATCACCGGTTGTCTTTGTTGATATGGGTCGATTGCTATGCTTGTTTTTTTATTTATCTGTACTGCTCTTGAGCTTTTTCTTCATCTTCACGTTTATCATTTTATTCCAGTACCGCATGGAGTTGCTGACTGTATAAATTAATTTCTTTCTTTTTTTTTTGGATAAAGTTAATTTGTGAATAGTTATTGCTCAGTCTTGTTACATAGGGCTGTCAAAAAAGCTCGTTGTTTGCGAACAGTTCGTGTTCGGTTCGTCAATGAGTTCGTGTTCGATTCGTTCGATAAGTAAACGAGACAAACACGAACAAATTTTTTTCGTTCGGTTAGTTAAACGAACCAAACACGAACAGTGATGCGTTCGTTCGTGTTCGAATCGTTATTATTTGAAATATAAAATAATATATTTTAAAACATTAAATTTTATAAATTATAATATATAATAAAATAATAAAATAATATATTAATATACTATAGTAATAATATACTAATATAGATATTGTATATTTATATAATATAAGTTATATAATTAATATATAATATTATTTTTATATATTAA